GCTGAACAAGGGCAGACATCTGTAGAGAGAGAGAGAGAGAGAGAGAGAGACAGGGGGGAGGGGAGCCATTCACTTACCTCCCCATCAGTGAGGTGGCCATCGATAGAAATGGCCTTTTGATATTGTATTACAAACATGAAAAACACCCTTCTCATCACTTATTACTATCATCAGTGCAGAATTATTACAGCACTGCGGACCAACTTCATGACTGAACATCTTTTTTTTGGGGCGAGCCCAGAGAACATTTTTCACTGAAATCATGACTCTAGTATGTCCTACAGCTTTTTCTTGTTATTTTTGTCAAACGGGGTGCATAATGGTATTAACCAAGCACCAGTTCTCAGATACAGCAAGCAGACTATGTGGCAGTACAATTTTATATTGATATTATACAAACACAAATGTCTTATTTTTGAGTCCACAGCAAAAAAAAAAAAAAAAAATGTAGGACTGTAGAAAAATAAAATGCAGTGCAGGCACTTGGTTCAATGCATCGGTTGTTGAGGTGGATGCAGATCTGAAAGTGAGCTTGCGGTTGATTTTAACAAAGGGGTGGCGTTTATGAGAACACAATGTTGAGTCATACATCACCATGGACAAGTTTGACGTTTCACCGAAAGATCGAATTATGATATTTTGATTAAAAAAAATTACAAGGTAAAGAAATTTGTATTCTCTAAAATGGCTCTGATGATTCATATATAAAATATTAGGCCATTTATTTCGAACTATAGTTCACTCCATGTTGCTAGATGTTTATATCACTTCTTATGATCAGAGAAAATGATCAATCTGCGACTGACTTCACTTCACTAAACCACAAGAGATGCTTGTGCAATGATGTCATAAAGGTGAGCGAGAGCCACTGTTTACAGTGGAACAACCCTTGCAGTCACTCTCTGCCCAATTCACACAAAACTTGAACAGAACCAGCTTTGGAAACATGTAAAAACAGATATATGTTGACTCACGTCCAGTAATGAATATGTAGAAACACCGCAGAGAAGTTAAAACAACTCATAATAAGGAACTGAGCGCTATTTACACAAACTGACGTTGATTCACTCTAACTTTCCATGACAGTGCGTGTGTGTACGTGTGTGTGTGTGTGTGCACGTCTCTCTCAGAGCTGTTGTAAATTGTTCCTCACTCTACTGAAAGGATCCTTTATTGAGTGAGTCTGAGCTACTTCCTCCCCCTCCTTTCTCTCTCGCTCCCTCTTTAGCCTTTTAACCCTTACTGACCCATACACACTCTCAGGACTTTATGCAAATCATACTCAACATGAATCACATTTATTCACACAAACACATATAGATAGAACAGATGCTAAAACAGACTTTTAGCTTCATCTCTGTCTTTTTTTCTCTATATTATTATGTTGTCTTCTTCATTTTAGGACAGTGCTTAAACAATCAATATATTGTGATTCTTGTGATTCTGACCATATGTTTTTAAAAATCACAATTACACATTGTGATGCAAGTTGTTGTTTTTTAGATACCCACAATCCATCTGTTTCTCTTGAGCAATTAAAATATCGTGATAATACCATATACTGTGATAAAAGCTCAATCAATAACCGCAGCATGAATATTTAATACCGGTGTTCTGACGATTCATGCTACCCATCGAGATTTGCTACCGGTTACGCGCATGTGCAGACTGTTTTTTTTGTTTTGTTTTTTACAAAAGGTACATTTTCCTGTTATAATGTATAATTTCCCTTTAAAAATGCTTACTACCATAAGAATATTTGTACGGTCAGCCAGCTGAAAAGGAATAACTGAAAGTTTCAGTTACTATGAGGAAAGGTGAATATGAATATTTTATGATAATTTTTACTTCTCATACCGTTTTAAAAATAAAAACAGTAGTCTACAGAATACAGTAGCTACTCATAACTTAGAATTGTATTATAATTGTATTTCATACGACTGTAATCGGCATTCTGTGATCAATTCGCACTACGGTAGCATTTTTCGACAAGGCAGCAAAAATCGACAGAACACCGGCACATGCCTAATATATATATATATATATATGCTGTCAACGTTAACATCTAAATTTTATTTTATTTTTTTTCAGTTTAACAGGTTAAAATATTTAATTTATTCTTATTCTTATATTATTTCATTCTTTAACTAGGATCACTCGCATATTCAAGCAAATGCTTACCCATTCAAGCGCAACAAGACAAAATTGAACGTGAATGTCCTGTCTATGTGACACACAGACAGACGAGTGCCAGTATCATGTGCACAGATGATAGCACGCCAGAATCAAATTCTCAGACATATAAAATGTCCGTTTCGATCAGCCTAAATACAGAACGCTGTCGACAACATGCAACAAAAATCTGCACAAAAGGACTTTGGCTACTTCTCATTTCAAAGGTGCCTGTTGCTAGCAGGTGGCTGTTTGCGTTCTGTCATGAAAGAGTTTTTTTAATTCCCTCAAAGGGACTGATTTGTGTAGCCACATCCTTGTTATCTGGTTCCCTGATGAGCTTTATTGATTTGAGCTAGGTTACATAATTTTGCAAAAGTCCCTGACAAATCTGGTTTGATTTCACATCAAGATCAAATATCCTGATTGACATTTACAGAAATAAAATGCCATTTCATGTCTCAGGGAAGTTTAAAAAACGTATAGATTTTTTACATAATTTAAACTTCTGAAAGTGCTGAGCAACTCAAGTGTGTGTGGACAATAGCCATAGGGGAGGTCTCTCCTTCAAATTTCTCCCCTACACATATACCAAAGTGACACACAGTACTGTCACTGAGTATTGAGTTCTCCTTCACACCTCGGTCTCACAACTGATCAAAGCGAACTCATTTAAAAGAGCATATCTGGTGTAGCACCTATAGGCTCACAACATCTCGTTGCTTTGAAACAGTGAGCTCTCTACAAAAAAAGCCCATTCATTAAAATGCCCACCCACAAGATGTGTATGCACACACACACAAACACTACCATTGTTTGACAACCCTACCCCCCAAACGAATGCCCCTCAGCTGGAGACCACACAATGATTCAAAGTTTCAGAGGCGGACATTTCAGTCTAAAACTGAACGGGCTATTCTAAGAGACCAAAAATAGACACCTAAACCCAACGTAGCATTAAAAACCCTTGATTAATTTTAAAGCTAGTAATAGATTATCTTTGCAAATCCATATAAAAAGTATTTCCTGTGAGGTTTGAATGTTTAAAGTTTTCAAAGCCATCTTAGATAATCAATACCTGATTTAGGCTATAACATAGGGTGACCATATTTTGATTAGACACTCGGCCCATCAAACACATGGGTCAACTCAAATGAAAGTTTACTCAAAGATACCTTTATTAATTTCAATACATTTAAAGTAGGTTATGCCTCCTCTGTTTGGATAGAAAATTGTTATATTGTTATATGAAAACAGGACATGTCCTGGGAAAACAGGACAGTTGGTCACCCTACTATAACATAACACTTTGTTCCCTGTTTGCATAATGTGAAAAAGCCTTTCTTCCTGTAGAGACGTCAAGAGATGCATCGTCATCATCAGGGTCGGCTCAGATTTCTGCACTTAAAATCAATTAACAATACGTTGCTCTTTTAATCTAAAGTTGCCAAGGAAGCCTTTACATTTTAGTGCTACTCAATTTCAGAGACAGAAGGACAGTCGATGTGCACTGTAAAGGCCAATCACATCAGCCCTCAGCGCACATTACATCAAACAGAGTCTCTGCAATGTCAGAGCGTCGTCGGCATCTCTCGAGTTTGACAGCCAGATCAGCTGTTTGAAATATCCAAAGCATGCTTGAACTAACAAGCAGGAACAGTGCCAAAAGAAGGAGTTCATATTTGTTTTGATATTAGTTTCAATGTTTTAATACACAATCAGGGCCGTATTTTATGGTTGAAGAGCAGATTCCCCACGTCCTTGGATTCAAACCACTTACACTGGCGAATGGCAGCATTACCACCACCACCACCCACGGGTTTAGAAGTCTCAATCTATTATAGTCTTACATCACAGTGCAAAGCTTGAAATGTCATTCTACAGGCATGTAATGAGGATTAAACAGAACCTATATTAAATCATCCCCCTCGACAGAGAGACTCTAATGTTAGAGTTGTGTTTCGATCATTCACCTTCCGAGAAAATTTATCTCCCTAGTTATCAGTCTGAACAGCACTATGTTAGCCATCTGATAGGATATCTTTACACCACTGCCCTTCCTGATAGAGGTGGAATTTTAATGGGGTTATTGCTGAAACAGCAAAAAGAGATCCAAGATTCACTGAGTCCTTTATGTTTTTCCTGGATTAATCCATTTGCAAGAGCAACAATGAGATCAGTTGACCTTCTCTGATCTTTGACAAACACTTGTTTAATTAACATATTTATTCCTTAAAACTAATTTTATGTTACATGTACTTGTTTTTACTAGTGAATAATCCAATAATGACTATATTTTGTATTTAAAATTTCAATAGTACTACTCATTAGATTGTAGTACTCAGTCAACATTCCTTTCCACTCCTACTAGTCAGAATCCCAACAGTGACAAGTAACTATTTCATTGATACTAGGCACATTTTTAATTGAATGAGGTTGAGGTTGAATCAACTTCTAACTAGTATGGATTTCAATTTTTTGCAGATAACTATTATATTTCACTAGTAAATGTATTATTTCGTTGAATAAACTGGTTTGGTTTCACTAACAGTGAAATAATAATTTGTCAGTATTATTATAGTGACTAGTAACAACTGACTACTTTTACTAACTGAAATGTTAGTATTCGAATTAGTACGAATAAATAATGGCATCTCAAGAATAGTTACCATAAACAGACACTGATTAGAATAACAACAGAAAACAACTGGTAACACAAAATATATACTATTTAGTTTTAAGGAACACAACGTTTACAATATTTTACCATATAACGTAGCGTTACACAATTAAATCAATTACAGAAATAAAGTAACGTATATTCTTACCATGTCGACAGGGATGTTGCCCGTCATCTTTGAAATGTGCTCTGTCGGATCTTCACTTTAGATTAGATTAAAAGTCTTTTTTTCTATCTTCAGTTTGCTAAGGAAGCAAAGTTTGGACAGCAGGTGACTCGTGGTAAAGCAGTTAATCACGCAGAGATCACTCGTCTGGTTATTCCTGTAGGTTCGCTGGTAGAGGTAGTGCTAGTTATGCGCAGGCAGGAATATGTTCTTCTTCAGATATGCTTCTGTGTTTTTCCTTTTTCATGGTATAAACTTACAAAAACGGAGTAAAGAATATTTTCTGGATTTTATATTTATGTGGGAGGACCCCCTCCCATCCTGAAATAAAAAGGATATATTAGGAAAATGTGCCTACGCCATACGAAAACAAAACCACGCTACAATTAAGCCATTGGGTTTTTGCAAATATACAGAGAAAATAGTTCCTCGTACTCCGCAATAATAAAACAGTCGCCTGGTAGAAGGGAACAAAAAGCTGTAATTCGACGGTTTTTCAGTCTTATATCCGTCTTCGTCTGCGATCACTCTCTGCTGTCATCCTGCCTCAGAAAAACATGGCGGCAGTTGACGGGGAAAGGCTGAACGGGGGGAAACCGGAGCTGGTGAGGCAGATAAAACGGCGCGATGCTGTCAATCGGTATGTGTGTGCGCGGATGAATACGCCCCCCAGCAGTTAAAGGAAGAGGCGGAGAGAGTTGGGTCGGGAGAGAGAGAGGGGCGAGCCTACGAATCCATGCGCGTCCAGATACGTTTCATTATAAACGAATTAGTTGGAAGGGTTTAGGAATTAGGAACTTTTATCAAAATGTTTTATGCTTAATCCTTTTCAAGGGCAAACGTTTTTTAAATCACAATCAGCCTTATGTTTGTTTTGTGTGATAACATTTTGTTATTTAGTTATTTACCTCAGGCTAGCTCTCTCATAACCAGTTTAACTGTGGCATTTCCTTCCTAAGACCATAGTAACCACTGGTAAAATCATGGATGGCTAATGGTTTATACCCTGCTAAAAAGCCTAAAATGGTTTGCTGGTTTAAGCTGTTCTAAGCTTGTCTCACAAGTCTTATCAAGCTGTTACTCAGCTGTTTTAGCTGGTAGCAGCTGAAAAACCTCAAAATCCTTCTAATATCAGTCGATGGACACGAAAACCATCATAAAATGGTTTAAGCTATCTGTTTTTTACAAGATATGGAATGTTATTAAAAGTGAAACTAAATGCATATAAAATCGAACAATCAGAATAATTTTCCTGAAAACTGAAAAAGAAGTTATAATTTCTCTCAAAAAACAGAAATGTTATCAAGATAAACCATTGTCAATTTTGTCAATGGATATCTTGTTTTTGTTGTTGATATCATCGAAAAGAGCACATTTGTCAAATTACAGATTAAAATGGGTTGCAAATGCCATTTCATGTCTAGGAATTAAAAACAATAGCCTATAACTACCACTCACAATCACAACTAGACACTGTTTTGCTTTTAGTCTACTTTAAATTAACATAGGGTTATCAAGCACCTCAATTCTTTTTTTCTTTTACATCACAAAGTTTTGTGAGTGTAAGTAGCCCTACCTTTGTTTTGTTTTTGACTCATCTTTACAATATTCTTATGTAACTTGACTGGCACTTTTGTATGCCTTCAGCTATTTCATGAATTAATTTACCTATAAAGTTAAGCACTGTGAGTTATACACTCTTAGAAGAAATGGTTCTATTTAGAACCAGAAATGGTTCCATCCCCCGCTTCATATATGGAACTCCAAAATGGTTCTATATAGAACCTTTTTTTTTTTTTTTGGTAAAAGGTTCTATTGGCCAAGTATGGAACCCCAGGGTTCTATATAACCCAGAGGAACCCTTTTTTTAATAGTGTATAGAACCTTTTAGGGGTTCCAAATACGTAGCGCTGAAAGAACGTTTTAAGGTTCTATATAGAACCTTTTCTTCTAAGAGTGCATGCCTGTGTGTGTGTGTGTGTGTCCCTGTCCTGGAAGCATGAGGTTTTTATCTGTGCTGTTGACTCAACTCTATTGTCTTGCACGGTGTTGAGAGGAATTCATCCTGATGTGGGGTGTCGGACCCACAGATAAGAGGATTAACTGTTTAATTTGTCACTGATTCTCCTATGCTGCCTCCAAATACGCATTTGTTCTCCTGCGTGCCATTTCAGTCTCCCGTCAGAACAAAATATTGCCACAAATGCCACCACACAATGTGAATATATATGCAAGGGAGTTCGAAACAGGTGTGTTTTTGTGTGCTTGTGTGTCGGGAGGGCTGTTGGGTAGACGAGATTGTAATCTGTTTGTGGTGACGTTCAGACAAACATGTGACTACTTCCTTTGTTTGATTGTGAATGTTAATCTGTGTAATATGTGTTTACATGGAAGCCATCGAGAACAAACTCAGACATGGCTGGGACACACACACAGAGAAATCAATTACTGTGGATTATATGTGACAAAGTCCTGGGATTGAATGGCATGAAGCCCTCTATGTTGCAGACATAAGAGTGTATAGAGCTAAAGTAAGATTACGTCCAGAATAAGCACAGGCTCTCTGAGTGGCAGCTTAGTGTTGTGAGACCAGACCGGAGGGTTTTACATGACTGCCTTTGATAAACAAAGAATTTCCAACTACTGTTGCATTCCTCGAAGCACAAAAAGAGCACTCTGGATGCATTATCGACATGTTCTTTGGTCCTTCTGGTGTTTGCTGTTGTGTGTTTGCAATCATTCTCATAGCTCTCACAACTGAGAGAAGTTCTAAATGTCTCTATCTGAAAGGGCATTGTGACTAATGCATAGAGGAAAATGTTATTGCTCAGTTGTTCAAACGTTAAACCTCAGGAGATCTTATTACACTTTATAAAGAAGATGCTTCTCTTAATATGATCAATCAAATCAGACAATTAATAATACATACAGGGCTTTACATTAAAGTTTTTGCTCAACAGTCACTGTGGCTAGTGGTTTTCCATAGTTACTAGCCACTGGCCACAATATTTACATTGATACCATAGGGAAAAACTGCCATATAGATATTTTTAATATTATCTCATAATTTGGTGGCTGGTATAAGGCTGCTGTCACTTTAAGACCTGACTCACGGACCCATATTAAGCCAATATACTTGTGTACGAAAAAAAGGAATGAGTAACATCATGCTCAATATGAGCAATTTCAAGGCGAAATTCAAGCCCTGTAACACACTCAATATTGTTGAATACAGCTGTAATACACACACTCCTTTTGGTTGGCAGATTAGCAGTGCAGGGGCTGTACCTTTTCTAAAGGTACACTTTTGTACCTTAAGGGTTGCATATTGGTACCTTAATGGTACATATTAGCACCTAAAATGAACATATCAACACTAAACTGAACATATTAGTACCTGAAATGTACATATTAGCACCTATTAGCACCTAAACTGTATATCAACACTTAAAATGTACATATTAGTACCTGAAATGTACATATTAGCACCAAAAATGTACATATTAGCACATAAAATATATATATTAGCACATAAAACGTACAAATTAGTACCTAAAATGGACAAAAGTGTACCTTTTGAAAAGCTTTCGTACCTTTTTTCTGAGAGTGAAGGTGCAGAGATGACGTCAAAAACCCGGAAGACTAATTCACCCCCGGTTCCCTCAAGATTGTCCTATGGGTTTTAATAATGGGGGTTGTCAATTTATAAATAAAAAAAAAAAGTCTGTGGTAAAAATAAGTTAAAAAGTCAAGTCACCATTATTTATACAGCTCCCACAATATTCAATAGGCCTATTGTTTCAAAGCAGCTTTACAGTAAATTTACAGGAAAATGATTAAATGATGCAATGATGTTCATTTCGATTTTACGGCAGCTCAAAAAGAAAATAGGTGTGCTGCTTAATACTTTTGTAGAAACTGTGATGCATTTTTTTCAGGATTTAAAAAAGTTTAAAAGGAGAGCATTTATTTGAAATATAAAGCTTTTGTAACACAATGTCACTTTTGATCAATTTAATGGGTCCTGGCTGAATAAAAGTATTTATTTTAGGGCTGTGCAAAAGTTAATTGCGATTAATCGCATCCAAAATAAAAGTCTGTGTTTACATAATATAGTTGTGTGTGCTGTATATAATTATTTTGTATATATAAATACCTATGCATGCATGCATTTATTTGCGCGTAAATTCTGTATATCTATATAAATACATAATCTAAATTATATAAATATAAATATTTTATATATGAATAACACATTTTCTTATATATACATGCATGTGTGTGTATTTATATATACAAAATAATTATATACAGCACACACAAATATATTATGTAAACACAGACTTTTATTTTGGATGCAATTAATCGCAATTAATTTTTGCACAGCCCTAATTTATTTCTTTAAACAACTAAATCTTACTGGCCCCAAACTTTTGAACGGTAGTATATTGGACAGGAAAAATTATATAACATTGTATTTGCACTTGTGTTTGTGGTTGATAATTAACATGTTAAAAGTCTGCCTTGAACATTGATCCTTGACTCAGTATTGGTGAAAACACAATAATAATGCACCATGCTGCTTCTGTCTGATATTAACAATAAATAGTGAAGAGGAACTAATTTAGATTTCATTTATGTATTTCGAGAGGTGTGTGTGTGAAACTGTGGTTAGTCTCCCTCTAAACATAAACCTGTTTGTGCCTTCCTCATCACGTGTCTGAACATTTCCATGAATCTTTTTACTGTGTCAGTTTGGTTTGTGTCCGAATGATAATTTGAAGGCAAGCACCACAGGTTTTGCTGTGTGTGACTATTGCCCAAATCGCCATGGCAGCCACCATTTTCTGTTTTTCTTTCCAGCTCAGAGCAAAACTTTCTAGGGTACTCCCTAAACATTTCCACCGTTTCAGTCGCAGCTTCGAAACTGGCCATTCTTTATGCTCCTTAAAGAAATAATTAATCTGAAAATACAAATTCTGCCATTATAAACTTACCCGTACCCGTATTACTTTTGTTCTACCATGGAACACAAAAGGAGACGTTTAGAAGAATGTTCACGCTGCTCATTTCCATATGAATTCCGTCAAGGTACATAACATTAGAGCGTAACAACACCATGTGTCTTCAAAAGACATGGAATACAAATATAAATCATATACACAACTTTTAAAATACTTTCATGGTGTGTTTTCGTTCTGACAAACCATTCACAAACAATTATACTGAGAAAAGCCCATTTTGTGTTCCACTGTAGAAAAAAAATGTCATAACGGGTTAGTAAATGACGTCAAACACACATGAAGACTATATCAATGAGTTTCATTTTGCACTACTTCAGTGTTTTGGATCATAAGATTATATACATTGCCTTTTAAAAGAGTCTTCACTGAATCTTGGTGACCGCACAGTTTTTAACCGCATGGCTTTTACTGTAAAGCCTGTGTAAAGTCCAGCCAGACACAAGATTAGTACAAGGTCGGGTGTGGCCATAATGACAGTATTACCTCAACACAACAACAGTGATAAAAACACTGTATTATTAAGGGTGGAGACACACAGTGTATGTTTCATCCCTATGAGGGCTCATGTTTACATTTTCCCATGTATCCTCAGTAGTTTTAATGGTGTCTTGCAAACAATCTCATCTCACAAGT